GGGGGCGCTGGGGTGCCTTCTCCCTCCCTGCGCTTTTGACTGCACGATACTGGCACTGTGGGAAAGGGTTCCCCGGTGCGGTTGTCCACTCCGGAGCCTTTTGCCTCGGTGGCTTCGCTGAAAATATACTTTGTTTAGTCTTTCATTTATTACCATGTGGGCATTTTAGAGGACGCTTCCCTGTCTGGGATGTTTTGTGTCTAATAGTATTTTTTTAGCCTGGGAAATCTTTTAGTCCATATGCTTAATGACAGCTGGAAATAATAGTGCAACAAGGATTGGGTTAACATTGCTTTTAATTTTCGAACTAAAAATAAGCAGTTGTGAAGGGGAATAAAAAACCCCCACAGAATTCCTTCAAGCAAACTTTTTTTTTTTTGCAAGTCAAAACCTATTAATCTAAGGCAAAAGGGCAGTTCATATACCCAGATATACTTTCATGGAGTAATTTTCCATTCTTGAAGACAGTTATGCTTAGTCTTCTTTAAGTGACTAATGTATCATATTATAAAACAGAAAATGCAGATATTACAGAGAAATACTAGCAGCTTGTAAGTCAGGGTTTTCAGGCATTCTACACTGCAGCATGTGTGTATAGGAAACCAGAACACATGCAGTACCTGGGATGAGTCTCCTTGCAGATTTGTCTTTTAGCAAGTCCTGAAAATAACAGGTTTTGAGTCTTTGGTTTGGAAAGGTTGTTACAGGCTGTTCTCTGTGTGTGACAGCCTCTCGAGGACATCAGCTGCATGGCGTGGAACAGGCAAGTCCAGCACATCCTGGCGTCTGCCAGTCCTAGTGGCCGAGCTACTGTGTGGGATCTCAGGAAGAACGAACCCATCATCAAAGTCAGTGACCACAATAACCGGGTGAGTTAGCTCTTGCGTGGCTGCACAGGTGCTCGTGGAGAGGTGTGGGGTGCCTCTTGGCATCTAGGGACAGGTCATAGCACGCCTTCTTACATGACAGAGATGCTGGTGCCTGGTCCAGTTTTATACGACATGCTAAATGTCTAATGCTTTCTCTTAAAAGGCTATGTATATTGGGAGGGATTGTCAGCGTTTTAAACAAAAATAGGCAAATGCAAACTGAAGCAAGGCAAGGCACTCAGATTTCCTATCAGAGTGATAAGTTAGCTTGGAGAAGCAAGGAGAGTATTGCAGTCTGAATGCAGTCAGATATAGTGCCCAGAAACACAGCTGCAAATTCCCTCACGGCAGTGTTTTACCATGCATGTAGACATACTTAGGCTAGTTGTCTTTTGTCCTTTAGTGCTGCTTAATTATTTTATACTGTGGCACAATGTTGTCCCTCAGATGCACTGCTCAGGCTTGGCATGGCACCCTGATGTTGCTACCCAGATGGTTTTGGCCTCAGAGGATGACAGGTTGCCTGTGATTCAGATGTGGGACCTAAGATTTGCCTCCTCACCACTTCGTGTTCTAGAAAGCCATACAAGGTATGAGTCTTATGTAGCCTGCTGATGCACGGTGTTTGCACTGTTGGTGACTGCGTACCCATTTGTAGATCTTGCTTCTTGGCTCAGTTCCCTGTGAAGGCTTACTTAATTGAAAGCAGCAATTCCAGCAGCAGGAGGTGTTATATGTTGGCTTGCTGACTAGCCAGACCTGTGTCCTGAAAGGCTTGCCTTTTTGGGGCCTGCTGGTTTGAAGGCAACAGGCCCCAGAATAAAAAAAACACCATTCTGCTGAAACACTGAAGTTGCTAGTTTGTTTCTATGCTTTTCAAGAAGAGAAATGTAAGGTGCAAAGAATTGGTAGTAGTTGATTTTGCCTGAATAAAGGACTGAAGGTGCACCTGGGCACATCCTCACATGTGGACATGCACAGTCTCTATACCCCTCAGTCCCCTAAATGCCTTGAATTTGTGTACAAGGAAAGATTTTGTTAGATTCTCGTCCCTGCTCAGTTGTTAGTAAAACTTTCCTTAGTGCCCAAAACCAGCACTGGATTTAAGGGGAGAGAACAGCAATAAGTCTGTGTTGGGGCTTCTACCAAAGCTCCCGCCCACGTTCTGTTGACTTGAATCTCCTGCTAATAAAAAGAAGCTGACAAACTTTGTATCACCAAGCTTACCTACAGGTTTGCACACTGTATGTTAATGACACTGCAGGCAAACAAACCATCTTGTTACATTGCTTTCCAGGTTCTCCCACATGACTGTTGCATTTAATTTTCAGATACAATGGCTACACCTTTATACCTCTTCATGCAGAAAATAGGAAGCATCTATTTCAATAAATAAAGTGCTGATAACATTGAAAAATTTCTTGTAAGAGGAATGAGTGGGGAGGGCATTTTGAGGTGGAATGCTCAGCTAGTGTAGAAACTTGACTTACAAGTATGCTTTATTTATCATCATTTTGCATTTACATTAAACTTGTTTTGGTTGTGACTTTTTACACAGGGGTGTATTGGCTGTTGCTTGGAGTATGGCAGATTCGGAGCTGCTGCTTAGCTGTGGGAAGGATGCTAAAATTCTCTGCTCCAACCCTAACACAGGCGAGGTATCGTACGCACACCACTTAATAATTCTCTGTTCAGAGGTGGCACAGTGGCATATGGAAAGTGGGTGTTCATATGCTTGCTTGTCTAGGAATGATGCTTTTGTGGGATTTCTCCCTGTCCTGTGTTTGGTATATGTGCCTTCAGGGCACATAGCTCTTCTGCTAGGTGGTAAGGTCCCTGCTCATTATAAGGGATAGGAATGGCCACACTTATTTGCTTCCTGCTCTTTTTTTTTGCGCTGAATTACTGTTGTGATTTACTTTTTCCTTCTGTAATTCCAAGTCCTTTTATCCAGACCAGAGGGATTTTGTAGGTTATTATAATAGTGGCAGATCAGTGAGAGCCATTTGAATTTGTTCCTGCCCTTTTGCACCTGGGGGTACCTTTCAAAGGGGATGCACATCATTTTTTCAGACAACTTGAGTGTTTGCCCCTAGACCACAAGAAAGGCTTCAGGCACCCTGGAGGGCTCTTTGCTTGCAGTGGGCAATAATCCTGGAGGACAGTGAGAAGTGTTTCTAAAATTCATACGGTGGCCCAAAAGTGCAAAAGCTGTGGGGTGGTAAATGAGTTATCTGAGCTGGATCCTGTGCTGTTAGAAAGGCTTTATATGTGGATGAATCATACTACATGTCTTTATTTAAAAAAAAAAAAAAAAAAAAAAAAAAAAAAAAAAACCAAACTCCAAAACACCGGTTTCCTGGGAGACAGTAAGGCAGTTAGCATTTCACTTGCTGAGTTTCTGCTAGTTTATGGTTACATGTCTGCTGCAGTGGTGGGCTTGTCTGTTCCAGGGCAAGAGAAGCTGTCTATCTAGAGCGCAGGTTTTAACTTTTCCAATTTCCCTGTGAAAACAGACTTACTCTGGAGCCTGAGCATATCTCTGTGTGGTGTGTAGAGATACCCAGATTAGTTCTGAATGAGCTAGCATGAGTAGCAGCAGCTCACGGCTTGCAGTGTGACAGCACAGACATACCCCATCTGCATAGTTTATCCTGTGTGGATTAAACAGAAGATTTAATGGGAGGAGAAGGAAATTAAGCAGTGGTGTGTGATAATCTCCTGTTTGGCAATTCTCAGGGTTTGCCCAGTGTTAGTGTGTATGGTGGTGTGGAGGCTGCTGGGGAGCAAGAGGAACAGACCAGTCTCAGGGCAGGTGGGAGAGTTGTTGCTGTTGGACGCGATGCTTCATAAAAACCCTGATTTATTGGACTTGTTTTTGCTGCCCAGGTGCTGTACGAGTTGCCCACAAACACACAGTGGTGCTTTGATATCCAGTGGTGTCCCAGGAACCCCGCTCTCTTGTCTGCAGCTTCGTTTGATGGACGGATCAGCATTTACTCCATCATAGGAGGCAGCACAGATGGCTTGAGGCAGAAGCAAGTTGATCAGGTATTGAGAAGTGTTCAGCTAAGGATATGGACAGAAAAGGGGGGAGGGGGGAGGATATGGGCTCATGGGAAGTCTGCAGTGGCTGACTGCAGCTCTGCCTGCAGGAGTACCAATCCAGTGCAAATAAATCCTCATGTTTAGTTTATTGGAGATGTCACTTCTGGTTTTCCCCCCTTTTGTTATCAAAGCTTTCATCATCTTTTGGGAACCTCGATCCATTTGGTATGGGACAACCCCTCCCACCCCTGCCGCTTCCCCAGCAGACTGCCCCACAGAGTGTCATTTTGCCCCTAAAGAAACCACCCAAATGGATTCGGCGACCTGTGGGAGCATCGTTCTCGGTAAGGAGGAGACAAGGCTGGGCATGGTTGGCCAGGCATAGGGGGAGATAGTGGTGGCACCTGCGAAACACTTTAAAAAGAGGGCAATTCAACATTGTGCTCCACCTTTGGAGAGCTTTCCCTGTTTGTCATCATGTCAGGAGGTGCTCACGGCAGCTTCCAGACTGGGCGCTTGGAACAGCAAGCCAGCAAAGGCATGACAGAAATGCTTGGGAAAAGGAAACAAGGAGGTGTTGTGTTGCCAAAAGGCGCTTGCTTCTTTCTGTTTGGAAATCAGTTGAGTAAACACTACAGGGAGGGGGGACGGGGACGAAAAGGACCAAACTCAGCAAGTATCTGAGACCTGTGTAGTTTGAAACTATTGCATGAGTCAGTGTGGTGGAGAATACTCAGGTTAGCGCTGATCAAGGTAGCAAGAGCTGGTGTAACAGCACACAGCTAGGTTACTCCATGGCTGGTTGGTTTGCAGAGGAGCCAGGTGTGAGGGTGGTAATGCCCTGCTTTTTGAGAGCAGTGTCATCTGCTCTTTGGCTTCACCTCTGGCTTATTTTCTTAAAAAATTCTTCTGACAGGCCATTTCATAGGGATCTTCTGAAGATTTTAGCCTGTCCACTTGAAATGTATTTTTTTGCCAAAATACTACTCAATTTTCAGCATCATATGTCTGCTTATTCATGATCTGATGCACAAATTAAATGTAATTTTCTCCCGTCAAGGAGAAGTGGTGTTGCCTAGCCACAGATTGATGTGTCATTTTATAATGGTGTTTGTCCCCTTGTTCATCCTGGTTTTCCAGGAGCCAGCTGTCAGTCTTTTCCTTGGCTAGGCTTTTAGCTTTTTTGTAATGTTGACTTTGTCATTTATTGGCCTGGCCAGCTAAGCCCCTTCTAATTTTTTTTCTTCTGTTGATTTTGCTGCTCTCCAAATGATGACGTGACTTGCTGCACGTCTCTCAGTAGGCTTTTAACTGGTAAACAGCCTGCCAAGAGCAGAGCAGACAGCATACTTGAGCATTTATTTAATGTTCGTAGAATCGTAGAATAGTTTGGGTTGGAAGGGACCTTTAAAGGTCATCTAGTCCAACCCCCCTGCAATGAGCAGGGACATCTTCCACTAGATCAGGTTACTCAGAGCTCCATTCAACCTGACCCTGAATGTTTCCAGGGATGGGGACTCCACTACCTCTTTGGGCAACCTGTTCCAGTGTTTCACCACCCTCATCATAAAAAAAATTCTTCCTTACATATAGAGTCTAAATCTACCCTCTTTTATTTAAAGCCGTTACCTCTTGTTCTATCGCAACAGGCACTGCTAAAAAGTTTGTCCCCGTCTTTCCGATAGGCCCACTTTAAGTAATGGAAGGCTGCAATAAGGTCTCCCTGCAGCCTTCTCTTCTCCAGGCTGAACAACCCCAACCGTCTCAGGCTGTCCTTGTAGGAGAGGTGTTTCCTCTGGTCATTTGTGTCACCCTCCTCTGGACCCACTCCAACAGGTCTAAGTGTTTCCTGTGCTGAGGGCTCCAGAACTGGGCACAGTACTCCAGGTGTGGTCTCATGCATCTAACAATGCACAGGTTTCTTTGGTAATCAGATTGCAATATCAGGAGATGCTCCATTTAGGCTGGACACTGTACAGACTCACAGCTCCAGTTCTCAGTTTCTAGTCAGTCTTTTGCCTGAGAAGAAACAGGCAGAGGAGTGATTGTGCTCATAAGTCTTATTAAATGTGCACTCATTTATCCAGCAAGCTCCTTACATGCATAGAAATATGGGGTGGTGGAGAAAAAAAAATTGAGTTGGTCAGGAATGTTTGTACATTGGACGATAAGTTTATATATGCTATATAAAATCATGTGCATACATAAGTGTATGCACATACTTTTTCATATACACTCCAGCGTATACTTGTATTTTTACATACTGCGTGTGTGCTTCAATTGCAGTTTGGAGGCAAGCTGGTTACATTTGAGAATGCCAAGTCTCAGCAGCATCCAGGCATTGAGCAGCAGCAGCAGCGTCACTATGTCTATGTGAGCCAGGTTGTAACAGAGAAGGAGTTCCTGGCCCGCTCGAACCAGCTGCAGGAGGCTGTGCAGTCTGAAGGCTTTGTCAGCTACTGCCAGAAGAAAATCGATATGGCCCAGGCTGACTTTGAGAAAAACGTGTGGGCCTTCTTAAAGGTAACAGGATAACAGCAGTTCAGGAGTTCCCCACTGACTTGGAAAGTCAATGCGGAAATGGTTCCTTCTGTGTATCATGGTGTTTTAGCAGAAGAGATGCTGGGAACCAAAAGTGTAGGCTGTGGGAATAGTGTTCATAAGCCCTGTCATTGGAGGTGGCCCACCGGAAGAGAGAGGGTCCTCAGGGCCAGGAGCATTTGTGGGGCTCATGAGAAATTATGGTAGAAGCCGAGGCTTGGGGGAAGATATCTTGTGGTTTTTGACATCACCCATCAGTACATCTTGATACAGGGAACTGGTGAGAAGGGATAAAGTTTTGGGACAGCTTTAGATGTGTTTTTCACTGCTCACTATGAACATTTAGAGGTTTTCAAGTGAATCAGATAAGCAGATTGTTCACCTGCAGTAAACAGATTGAAGCCTTGACTACGTGCTTGGACGCCCAAGTCACTGAAGACCTTTTCAATTTTCTTTATTACACCCAGTCTCCACAGTCACTAGATCTCACTGGGTAATTTGTGCCAGCTAAGTAAAATGCCAATGAGGGAGAAAATGAGAAATTGTGAATTGCAATATATTCTTTAACTTTTGTTTTTTAAAGGTGAACTTTGAAGAAGATTCACGTGTTAAATACCTTGAGCTCTTGGGGTACAGGAAAGATGATCTGAAGAAGAAGGTAAATGTGCCTGGAGGCTGTGCTTGTGTTAAATGTTTTACTGATGGACGTATCGGCAGAGTACAGCGTAAAATATTGACAATGCCATGTATGTTTTAAGTACTCATTTACCTGTTGGACTGGAAGAGCAATTACCAGTATCCACAGGCTATTCAATACAATGAACATTTTTATACAACATTGTTTTCGTTGTGGTGCCCAGCAGATAGTAATTGTCAATGCTGCAGCTCTCCTAATAGCCATAATACAACTGTTACGCATGGTGCCAGAGCCTCTGTTTCAGGTCTGACTTCAGTAGTTGTGTTATTTAAGGAATTCCTTTGTTCCAAAGGACACTAGAAATCTTCCTCTGCTCTATTAAGTTTTGCTTAGGTAAACAACTTGTGAGTTACTTCAGAATTCTTACAGCAAGGAGTTTGCTTTGGGGTTTTTTATTAGCTGTGTCATCTTCTTGTGATATTGATGTTCAATGAAAATTTCAAAGCAGGCAACAAACATCAGATAGATGTCTGTCTGTATCTGACTGTCCGATGTTGATATGAAATTCACAATCATTACAAAGCTTTGATAATTGTTGGTTCAAGCTATTCACGTAACTTTGCTATGTGACATCCTTCTACTGTAGCATCATAGAATCTGATCTGGTTTTAGGCTTTCTGGTTGAAGAAAATGTAAGCAGTCTTCAGGGTTTCATTAACTGCCTTGGAAAACCTAGAACAGTCTTTTTGGGAGGGGGGGACACACCATTCATTTTTAGGAAAAAAAAACCCAAAAACATCAAACCTGGTTACATTTGCAAAGGCAAAATTTAGATTACCTGGAAGCAACTTGCATGTCTTAAGTACAGAGCTTTCTTCCAAGTTGGAAGAAGATTCTTATCTCAGTGTTACAAGGGGATAGCTGCTGTGCATTTTGGCTCTTTGTTGCTTTCAGGGCTGTACCCAGGAACTGGGTCTAGTATTTTTTCAGTTCTGATTCAGTGGATTTGAATGTCTGACTCGTTTTCATTGCATCAAGCTAATGCTTTATTTTCAGAGTGGCTCCATAAAAATGTCATTATGATTACGAATTAAATGGCTGCTAGGGCAAACTTATATGATTGCAGAAAAAAATCATGGTTTTGCTAACAGTCTGTCCTCAGCTTCTAAATTTTTGTTGCATGAGTCAAAGGCAAGCAAAGCAAGGGAAATCCTATTTTTGAAAAGCAGATCTCTATTAGAAACTCCAGTTGAAATTTAGTAGAGCTCCTGTGGAGCGGCTGCATGCAAACTGGATCCCACTGCCACTGTTGCTCTGGGTTTGATATGCCCTGTGCATGGGGAGAAGCTGGGAAAATGGGTGTAGCTAAATTCAGTGGCCTGAAATGCTGGGCCTACCCTATTATTTCAGTATTTGAGGAACAGATGAGGGGAGCTGCAAGGCCATGTTTTTATGTAGCTGTTTCTCAATAAAGTATTCCACGTTGAACTTCAGTCTGTGTTTTTTAGTGTGAAGAATCAATACAGGACAGCTCATCTGAAAATTTGTGATACCCAGATGATAAACTCAATAAGTTGCAACTTGCTTTGCGTGTTACTGGTAGGGTAAGGAAAGTGAAAAAGGGTCACATATTTCACCTTCTTGGAATAAGCTGTTAAGAACATTGTGTTTTGTTTTTATCATCTCAAAACCTATAATTCTCATATGCAAGTCATGTCCTGGTTTTCTCCTTTCTAATATAAACTAACGATTTAAAAACTATCTCCAGCAATTTGAGCTGAGCTTTTTGTGAAGACCAGCCTACAAGGGTAAAATAAAGTCTGGAATACTAAAAGCAGTGTATATTAGCAGCATTAGGAAACCCAGGCTTCCAGATGCCAAACTAATATATTTTCTGCATGTATTCTAAACTATATTAATATATTTATGATTTGTTATATTGATATATTTATTATTTTGCGATCCAAGAGATCAGTGAGACGTCTGCCTCTCTAAAATAAGCGGCACTTAAATCTTTGTTGTTTTCTAGATTACATCTGCTCTGAATAAAGAAGGTCTTGCAGATGGCGACGTGGGAGAGGTAAGCAAACGTGTACAACACTGTGTTTAGTTTTATAATGCTTATAGTATAACGTTATATGTATATAACTTTATAATGCCAGGGTAATGTGCAAAGTAAGAATAATTTTTCTTTCTGCTTGGTGGCTATTGCAAAGTCACAACCCAGCATATGACAAGTTCCTATGTTCAGTAGGATGAAGATACTTATTTAAAAAAACAGCCACTTTTTTCCACTCAAATTGTCGTCCCATTCACACTAACCCCCCCCCCTTTCCCAATGAAGGGTGCTCAGTCACAGGTTTTAGTTCAGGGTCTCAGTGATCTCCCTCCACCTTTCCTTTTTGCTGCCTATGTCTTGCCCACTATGACACTGTGCTGCCTGTGAGGTAGGGCAGAGCCTTGCTGCTTGGCAGCTGGTTTCAAGAACAGCACCTTCCCCAGGAGAAAGCAGGACAGTATGGTCATGTAACACTTCCCTGCAAGAGTGGTAAATACAGTTCAGGTGTTGGCCATTGCAATTGCAATGGTCTGAGTCTTGAGTGGGGGGACTGCATTGCTTCTATGCTGTAGACATTTTGTATGTCATCTGTAGTGGCCTAATGGGGAAGAAAAGTTTTGCTGCATGTTTTCAGGCAGCTAAGGTGAAAAGAGCACAAGGTACTGTGTAATGACAATGAGCAAGGAAATGGAGGGCCTCTACCATGTTTGTTGTACTCAAGCATATATTGTCAATGCATTTCTGTGATTTGCAGTCTGGTTCTGGCTATTGTTGGGGGGAGGGTGGCTGTACTCTGCAGTGTGAAGTATTTCTTCCTCTTTGGCCTTTTTTTTTTATGGCATCTTCCCTCTGCTGAAGGCTCCTGCAGAATCTGATGAATTTGTGCCAAACAAGGGGGACGAAGTTCAGGCTACAGAGGAGCAGTTCTTGGGAGAGGTATCTGTTGCCCTCTAGACTAACCCTGTTGACCTTCTTTGTATTTACTTCGCTACTATAAAGAGCATTTTATTTTGTTGGCTTTTTCTAGTGCTGAGGGAGGGCATATGGAAATAGAAGTTACTCAGAATGAATAGAATGTGGGCTCTTGTTAAGTTGCCTGAGATTCTCATTAGCCTCAGACATCACGTGAATAGATTTTGCGGGCAATGAATCATAGAACTGTAGAATCGTAGAATAGTTCAGGTTGGAAGGGATCTTAAAGATTGTCTAAAGTCTCTGGAGACTGCCGTGGGCAGGGACACCTGAAGAACGAGCTGCTTTTGTAGTGGTCCAGTTGGCACCAGACTCAAGGACTTTATTCTGTCATAGTTTTCACTCCCGACATTTCACTAACATGTACTAAATGATCTGCTGCCACAACTCTAATGCATTCCTTCCCCCCCCCCCCCTCCCCTTTCCTCATTCCTTACTTCCATCCCTCTGGTTGATTATTACCAAGCTGTTAGCTTATTACTGCCCTGTTTCTAGGCATAATCCTTTGCAGAGATGCAGCTGTGGTACTGGAGAAGAGAGGGAACATTCGTTTCCTGCATTTCTTCCTCCAGCATCACAGTGCCATCTCTCTCCTTTGCACCTGAACAGCGAGTATCAGGGCTTTGGTAGCTAACTGCCTTTTGAATGTCTGTTGCAACAGTTCAGCCAGGTTTATCACAGGCATTTTGTGCTCTGCCACGTCTGCCTTTGGGATCCCATAGCTTTTGTTCATTTATGCCAATTTGAGCATCATTGTTTTCAGCCTTGTGTATTAAATATGGGGACAGGTGTAACTAGAACTAAGGACCCAGCCTCTACCATGTGAGGTTAATAGCACTGAAAATACTAGTATCACTGTGTGAACAGGCCAGCTTCATTCTCCCCCATTCCCCCAGTCTCCCTTTTGGCTTAGAATTTGAGCTGTTGGCCAAAAACTACCTGTACTCAAACCTGTGCTTGCAGCCTGTCTGCAGTCATCTGTGAAGAATGAGAATGGTGGTTTATGGCTTGTGCATGTTGGAGTGGTGCACTTGTTGACTCCATGTAACAACCTGTTAAGGACACCAAAACAGAGCACTCTCCTCAAGTTAGGTGCTTGATTGCTTGTTAATTCATTAAAGACTGTAGTGGCCAACGCATGTATCTGACCGTGTAAGGATTTTGCAGTATGCAGTCGTGAAGATACTGTATGTCTAATAACAAATGTCTCTTCTAGGAGAGAATTCGCAGCCAAACATGACCTTAGCCTGTCAGTATGGGTGGTGAATATTTGTGAGATTGCCCTGAAGCCACTGATGATGCATCAGGGAGTGTTGTCATATACATAAAGTAACTGGATGGGCACATTATTCCTGGGATAGTCACAACATGCTCTCAACTGATACCAAACACACATCATGCATTATCTGACAGCAAAATAATTTTCAAGATGCTGCCTCCTTTCATGAGCCAAACATGAAGTTTGTTTCAGACTTACCTCCCCATCCCAAATGCCTGTTCTTGGTCGACTGTGTACTTGTTCTTCATCCTCTGAAGTACAGCTTCACTGATCAGCATAGAAGCAGGGTGTTGTCAGCAGACTCTTGAACTCCCACTGCATGTACTAGCACACTGGCTTATGACAGGGGAGACTGTGGGACAATTTCTGCCCTCTTCTTAGGCCATGCTGTGAAAATTGGGGGTGGTGAGAGACTTCCCTCTTGGTATTATTTTTTTATTGTTGAAAGGTTTAGTTTGAAATCCCAAAATCCGAGTACTTGCAGGAAAAGCTCTCTATGTTAATTTCCGTGGGAGTTTTTTAAAAAAGCCCCTTCTCTGCTGAGCACTCCTGTACTGAGTGCAAAGCACTTAAGTCTGTGTGGACCATGCTGGACTTCGGTGTTGAAAATTAAGTGTGTGTTTATGTGTTTTGGTTAATTAAACTAGGGTGTATGCCCAGTGCAAAGTGTTTCAAGGATGAGCTGAAAGTCTAAATGGGGAAAGTGAAACCTAGGTAACATGGTAGACTGTTCTTGGTAGGGGTTGAAGTTGAAAGAGGAGAGGAGGGAGAAGTTTTCTGATTTTGTGGTTATGGCTGTTGTTTTGTTTTGAGGGGGTTCTGCGCGTATGAGCATGGATGCGCATATGAAAGTCAGTACCCAGGATCAGGGTGTCTGGTTGCTGGTATTTGTGATCTCTAGTTATGCACACCTGTGCTTGCATAAGCGTTCCCTGATGGTTAGAAACTAGGGCTTCCAGTGCTTTTTTTTCCCCTTGGCATCCATTGTAGAAAATGGTCCAGTCTGTTCTCTCAGAACAGTGATTTTTATAATGTTGTGTTTACATTCACTGAAGGTCCTTTGATAAGCCCAGGTCTTTCTCAGTGTGCTTAGGAGGTGGCTTTGTGCAGGCACCAGGGGAAGTTGATTATCCTGTACTGAAATAGTGCCCTGACAAATAACAGGGATACTCTTCCCTTCTAAGCTAATGATCTCTTAGGCAACTGGTAGTCTGAAGGTCTATCTTTAACTTGTAATGCAATAGCCATATCTTTTTAAGTGTGTGTGTGTTCCAAGTGCTTACATAATCTCAAAAACTATGCTTTTCCTTTCTCTTAGAAGGTGGAGGACCATAAACAAGAAACTGAAGATTTTGTGTCTGCAAAGACGACATTTAACATCTCTGTTAGTGGAGGTAAAAAAACCCTTGATACTGATTTCATTGTATATGCTGATATTTATAAATACTGATGTTGATACTGGTGTTCCAGTGAGAAGCCTGAAGAAGAGAAGGCTGCAAGGGGACCTAATAAATGCTTACAAATATCTGAAGGGTGGGTGTCAGGAGGATGGGGCCAAGCTCTTTACAGTGGTGTCCAGTGACAGGACAAGGGGCAATGGGCACAAACTGAAGTACAACCTACTGTAGGTGACCCTGCTTCGGCAGGAGGGTTGGACTAGATGACCCACAGAGGTCCCTTCCAACCCCTACCATTCTGTGATTCTGTGAGAAAGCAATTTCTGCATAGATTGTGAAGGATTATCATGATTTGCCTCTAACTCCATTCATTTCACAGCCATCTTGAGGTACTTGAAAATACAGCGTCTTTAGGGAAGGAAGGGAAGTTTACAGCACTCATATACCCCATCGCTGAAATGCAGCTACTCTTGAGTGATTTCTGATATAGAAGTACACATGCCTGACCAGGCATGAAGTGCTAATGTCGCTGTTTGTACAGAAAGTCCCAGGGGATCTTGAATAACACAGAAGCCATTGACTTCTGTCTAAATTTGACTTTGTTTCTGGCACTGTATGCAACGTAGTTGTTTCAGAGGTCATTTAGACCTCTAGCGTCTTGCTAGCGTTTACTAGCATCTTGCTCTGCAGCAAGGTAAACGATGCTTGACAGTGCGCCACCTGGTGTGGCTGTCGCCATAGTATGTTTGAGACTGGAGATGAACTTGAACATCCCTGTAAGTACCTGTCTGAAGCAGGCTGGTTTGCAGAGAATTTTGTGCAGTGTTGTACAGCTGGGCAAAATCAACTGCTGTTGCATGTTTAAGTGACTTTTGTGCCATCATTTGAAAATGCACTCCTCTCTTGTTGCAGATGTGGACGGTTTGATTACCCAGGCTTTGCTGACGGGTAACTTTGAGAGTGCAGTAGATCTCTGCTTGCACGATAACCGCATGGCTGACGCCATTATCTTGGCCATCGCAGGCGGACAAGAGCTGCTTTCTAGGACACAGGAAAAGTACTTTTCTAAGATGCAGAGCAAAATTACCTGGGTATGTTTTTCAGTTAAGAAACAGCATGCATGTAGGCCTTTGACAACTCCTTCTCGCCTTAAAAGTTTTCGTGCCATTTCATAGGTTTATTTCTGTGAGAAGCTAGTAAGTATTTGTCATCCACAAGATCTTGGAGCAGAAGGATTTCTGTTCTTTTTTTTTTTTTTTAATGCATTGATAAGGAAAGAAGAGGCACACTAGTTGGGTATCAATACACAAGAAGGGTATTCTTTACTTTGTCTCCAGCATCTACGAGTTGTGTATACACTAGTAGAGTCTCACTGATAAATATCTTAAGCAGTGCACATTTCAGTCCATTATCTTGCCACATTTTTCAAGAGTCGCATATGACCCGTGCTCAGTGCCAACAGCATTGTGTTGATTTCTGTCTGTGGTCAGTCTCAACAGATTATGCCGATGCTGCATTTCACTGCTTGCACAGAAGAAAGTTAAGTATGCCCAAGGTAGATCAGTCACCCTTTGTGTAGGAGACGGCATGTTATGGCCAGCTGGGTATCATTCTTTTCAGCTTTTTACGATGCTAGGGATTGTTGATGCTGCTCATTCACATCTTTCTTCTTCACTATTGACATGAGAAGGTAGCAAGAGGAGGATGAAACAGGAGAAGTGGCCTCAAAATTGAGCACAATACAATTGGTTTGGCAAGGATTTGCTGCTTTTAGAGGGGAGAAAGTTGCTCGTGGTCACTTTTTAGCAGTCCACTGTCAAAAGAAGACCATTTTATACAGTAGCAGAAGGCAGCCCATAAAATGGGCATGTGCTTACATGCTTTGCTGGAGCAGGACTGAAGGCTGCAAAGCACAGTCGCTTGGGGAGTTACAGCATGCAGCACCACAGGTTAGGGTCTATAAGTGGGATTTTGCTGATAATTGCCTGCGATCCAGTTTGAAATAGGAACAATTTGCATCTCTAGTAGTGGATAAGTAAAAAGAGGAAAATCTCAAGTATTAAGACTCTTCAGGATTTCTTCCCTCACCCCCAGCTCCTTTCCTGCCCCTGGGCAAATCAGAGGAAGGACAATTTTGCAGTGCGTGGAAAATTTCTTCACTGTAGTTCATCCTTTGGGAAAAGGTATTTTTATGGAAAGCTGACCAGTTGTCTGTGCCTGTGCTAACAAGTGTTGACCTTGTAGTTAGGACCTTGCATTTGTTGTTCAGGGGTGTGTTTTTCTTTTCTGGTCCTAAACTGCACAGTTACTGCTTGTTCAGCTGTTTCTGAGCTTGAAAGCGTGACAAGGGCTTTGTTCACTAAATAGCAGCACAGATGCAAAGTCTGTCTCATCTGAAGCAAAATAACTGGAGGCAGAGTTTGGGACCGAAGAAACTGGGGTTTCATTCTGAGACCTTGTGGACAGGCAGCCTGTGTGCGTGGATGCAGGGTAGGGATACAGCAGCCAGCTCAGTTTGATATTGCTGCCAACTTGCCTCTTCCTTCGAGCAGCCTTTTCAGCTGCCCCGCACTGGTCAGCCTGATGCCGAGAACTTAAAGCCAAGTGAAACAGTTTGACAAATCAAATTCCTACCCTTTGCTGGGCATTGTGTAGAAGACTTGTAGCTAAATACTTGGTATGTTATCTTTGTCAGCAAAAACAGTGCTGAAAACCATCTGCAGCAATCCCAGCTTGCAGAGACTTGTGCATTCTTTTCTTGCACGTTTTGTAGTAAGCATAATTGGCCTGTCTGTTATGTGAGCTTGTTTTGCGATTTTTACTGAACTCCTTTTGAAGTAAGATGCACGCTTGTGCAGCTGTTGAATTGCAGTTCAGTATGTGCTGTGACCCTGGATAGAGAGGGCATGAGTACACTTGAATAGATACAAATCATACTGTGTCCTAAAAAACAAAGGAAATCCTACCAACATCTTAACTGTGGTCTGTCTCCTTCTGGTGTAGCTCATCACTGCAGTGGTAACAAAGAACTGGAAAGAGATTGTGCAGTCTTGTGATCTACAGAATTGGAGAGAGGCTTTGGCTGCTGTACTCACTTACGCCAGGCCAGATGAATTTGCAGCCCTTTGCGGTAAGGACACTTTACAGACTGGATGTCGTTTATTCCACCTATAGCAAAACCACAGTTTGCCACAGTTATTTTCCTTCGAGTAAATTATTGTAATGCCTCAGTAGCTTCTTTGATGGATGATACAGTTCTTGGTCCTGTTGCAGAGGAGGAGAGGAACCTCTGGGGTGCTGTGTTCCCAGTATGTTTCCTGATTTTCTCGGCACAGAACCCAGACCCTTGTGAGCAGTTCTGTCCTAGGATTGCCTATATAGTGCGCAGCTGCTGGTCTCTTACCATTTCCAGATGGGTAACAGTGGTGCTGATGTGACAGGTGTCTCAGCCAAGGGACCAGTGGAGTGTTTGTGCATAGGACACAAGTGGAAATGTTTCAGGGGAGCGCCTCACTGCTCTTCCCCATGAGCAACTTTGACTGCTTGGAAGGAGTCCTCTTTCACAGGCAGTGAGCATGCCTGCCCTCATGTGTGCTGCATGGCAGACAGCTGAGTGAATTTAACCCAGGGAGGTTATATTGCCAATAGCTGTGTGCATGACACCCCTGTGCCCTTCAGACACCAGCCATGGTGCCTAGGGAGCTGCACGACTCAGGGCACATGTTGGCCCAGAGCAGTATCGCAGCTTTGTTGCTCACAGTTCCTTGGCTGGTTGTACACTTGGGTCATGCTCCTGAAATGAAGGACTCGAAAAAGTGAGTGGCGGAGGGGAGACTCAAACCCTGGCCTTTTGTCCTTTGTCTTATCAGCTGATAGACTGTCTCGTCTGATGTGTCTGAGGTTTGCAGGCATTTGACAAGACCTTGCTGCCACAACATTAACTGCTTCTGAATTGCCCTGTGCTGCCATGAGGTAATCTGTTCTGGACATCAGAGTACAGCCTTACTAATAGAGCCCAGAGGCAATATCCCTTCTCACTGTGCTGAGCAGAGACACAGCAGGCATTGCAGGCTTCCCCAAGCAAGTCATGGAGGGATCACCAAAGTGATTCACCAGCATCATCTTTCTTTATATTTTTCCTAGATCTCCTGGGTAACAGACTGGAGAGCGAGGGGGACAGCCTTCTGCAGACACAGGCTTGTCTCTGTTACATTTGTGCTGGCAATGTGGAAAAACTCGTTGCTTGTTGGACCAAAGCTCAGGATGGAAACAGCCCCTTGTCTCTTCAGGTTGGTAATTCTGTTATGAAAGATGTTGGAAGTAACATACTGCAATCATCTGGCGCTTAAATCAAATGATCTAGTGTAGAGCTTTTGTAGTGTCTGATAGCTGCATATATCTCACCATGCAAGCCTTTTGCTTCTGGAACGGGTGGCTTTCATAGAAATAACAGATATCATATTGGAAAATGTGTTGTGAAGCACAATGGCTCTCGTGTCTGCTCTGTTCTTTGGGTAGTTGTGCTAACATGCTTCTTGTGTAAAAAGCAGTTGTAGGGCTTAGAGTGTTTTGATAATGAAGCGTCTTTGCTTGCATCTTTTGCAATAGGGGAATACTTGGATGTTTCTGCTTTTGGAAGAGATGGCTTGAGTGTTCAGGGAAGAAATCTAATAAATCAGAGTTAAATCTGGGGAGAAAACTGTAGGAAGTTTCTCATGAGAGTTTTTTCTACGGGGTTGCACATACGGGGTTTGCTTTCCAGCAGTATTGCATATAGCAGATATCTTGAGGAAAAGGATTGATGACAGTGAAGTGAAGCAATTATGGAATAATTTATTTTACAGTGTAATGTTAGTTTCTTCCATCTGTTCAGGGCCTTTGAAGGACCAGTTTTAGAAAGTACTTCAAATGATGTTACCTGGCATTCTGTGAGTCTATCTAGTTAGAGGTTTGTGTGAGGTTTGCTTCACATTAGTAACCCTCTCCAGTTTTGAATTATCAAAATTACTTTCCAGTCTTTTGATTGTGAGGGCTTCATTTACAGATTTACCTTCCATTTGAATTTGCATTTTGATTGCATTGGTTTGCTCTCTTGGACACTAAAATTGAACAATATTGTTGGAGTCATAATTAGGGTTCTTGTTTACTATGATACAGAATTGCTGAAACTCATAGAAACTGTTGGTTATCTTGATTTTTTTTTTATTTTTATTTTTTCTTTTTTGAAGTGTCGATTTGCTGGGGAAAAAAACAAATATATTGCCGAGCAGTCAGCAAACAGTGTTATTAGTGATGTATGGTTGAAATCCTGTGTGTGGTACTCTCATTAAATCTGTTAAAATATTTTAAAACGATATTACATGCAAATGAATATTTGTAGTATCTTCCAGTATAATACAGTGAGAGTAAGAAAAACATGAGAAAACTGACCAGAAAATGTTCGTGTAACTTAGCGCTAGGAGGGAACCCAACCAAGACCATCTCTGGTATTTGGGGATCATAGAATCATAGGTTGCAAAAGACCTCTAAGATCATCAAGTCCAACCATCCACCCAACACCACCATGCCTACTAAACCATATCCCAAAGTCCCAGATCTACACTTTTTTTAAACACCTCCAGGGATGGGGACTCAACCACCTCCCTGGGCAGCCTATTCCAATGTCTGACCACAAAAGAAATGTTTCCTAATATCTAATCTAAATCTCCCCTGATGCAACTTGAGGCCATTGCCTCTTGTCCTATCGCTAGTTACCTGGGAGAAGAGACCAACACCTGCCTCACTACAACCTCCTGTCAGGCAGTTGTAGAAAGCAATAAGGTCCTTGCTCAGCCTCCTCTTGTCCAGACTAAACAGCCCCAGCTCCCTCAGCCGCTCCTCATAAGGCTTGTTCTCCAGACCCTTCAACAGCCTT